CGCTCACAGCTCCATGTAAAGCAGCGCCCCTTAAATGGATAAAGCCGGCCCCAGGGAGGGGTGCTGGGTGCTGGGTGCAGTTTGCCTCCGGCCAACTGAGGCCCGAAGTTCCTCAGAGCCCTCAAGCTCAGGGGCCCGCCCAGTCCTCCTCCCAGTGTAGCTATTTTAGAAGTCAACAATAGAGAAGTCAACAACAGAGAAACACAGATGGACCGGAAGCCTTTTTCTTCCCCCAGTTCTCCACAGGTCACTGTGAGGAGCTGTTATTCAGCTGGTGGTTGTGCTCTTCTGAGGTTGCCAGTTGCCAGTGCACACCTCAGGTTGGAAGTTAAATACCCCTCTGCTTGTCTAAAGGCATCCAAACAGAGTTTTCCAAATTTTCCTGAAAGGAATTGTTATAGAGCAACCCCAATATTAAACGGGTTCCTGGCTGTGGGTCCTCACCCGCGCGCTTTAAAGGGACTTATGAATACTCTACAATCACTTGGTGGGATCATTGAACTCCCAGATTCTTGAGTCCCTCTCAGCCCTAGGACAGAGGTCTGAGACTGTCACTTGGAGATCATCTGGGAAACATTTTGTTGAGTGTTGAAATGGGTAGGACTGGTGCTTGGATAAGAGGAAGAAACATACCCACTGCTCAGAGTGATACCCGGGAAAGACCAGAACTTGCAGCATTCTGAACTTTGGGACACCTCCATACTTGTGTGAGGGTTCAGAATCAGTGGAGACAAAGTTCAAAATGGCCTCAGGCACTCAAATCTGATTTGGGCAGGTTAAGGGATCATTTTTATGTAAAATGGAAAGAATAACAACAAAGATTAAATGCTTTGTTTCAGATGCTTGGCAAAAAGAACCAAAGTATCAACAAACAATAGCAGTTAAACCACTGCTAAATTCTCAGTGCCTGCTATGTGGACACTCACTGATTGGGAGAAGTTACTTTAAAAACATTGTTACTTAACTTTTCTTTAACTGAGTTTCTTCCTGCAGGTAGGGGGATATAATGAAACGCTTAGCAATTAAAAACAACACAAACTGCTCAGTGAACCTTGACTATTAGGACATACCCTGGACTCGGCTGGTTTTTCTCATTGTACACTTTTCTAGTCTAATTTTTTTTTAAATGTTGGTATCCTGGGTAATTTGTTTGTAATATTTTTCTGCAGTCAGATAATTAACACCTGTTCGTCACATAAGGGCAAAGTTTTGAAGTGATAATACTGACCATATTGGAACTAGATTTGGTACAAACTAGATTTGTGTAGCAATCTAATATTGATAATTTCTTTTTTTAAAGATTTATTTATTGGGCCTCCCCGGTGGTGCAGTGGTTGAGCGCTGGGTTGCGAAGCTGCCCGCAGCTCCTGCAGCACCGGTTCGATTTCCAGCTGCTCCCCGGCCACCGGAGGAGGGTCCCACATGGCGCGCAGACCTCCCCTGCCGCCCGCTGCTCCCCTCAGCAGTGTACTTCGGTCCTTCTGCCTGCTCTGCTCCCCGCTCTGGCTCTAGGGAATTCTCTTGCCCTCCCGCGCTTCTGACTGTACCCAGTGCTTGTATAAATAAATAAAAATCAATTCAAATTTTTTTCCACATTTCTTAAAAAAATAAAGATTTATTTATTTATGCATACAAGAAATGGGGTACAGGCCAGAGGTGTGGGGGGTGAGTGGATTCACCAGAGACAGAGTGGGGAACAGAACAGGTAGATTGACGGAAGTACACTGCTGAGGGGAGCAGCGGATGAGCCAGGAGAGGTCTGTTGTGCCATGTGGGTAGCTCCCTGGTCAGGGATTGAACTCTTGCTGTAGCGGCTGTGGATACCTTCACAGTTCTTTGCTTGTGCCACCAGGGAGGCCCCTACTAGAAAAATGAAATGAGAAAATTAGTGAGATGCATTGGTTAGTTCCCTATCCAGGTCCAGTATTGCTTTCCTGTTTTATTAAATATTTCATAACTCAAACTTGCACAAAACAACAATTTCTACTGTCTTCTCCATCTGCTTCCTCTCCAATTCCACTTACCAGAAGGAAAGCTTTAAAAACTTGATATGTAGCCAATGGGACTTTTCTGTAGGTTTGTTCTTTAAGAGGTTTATTCTTCAATTTTTTTCTTCAGATTTATTGATATGCAATTGGTATATAACACTGTGTAAATTTAATGTGCACAATATATCAACTCAATCTATTTTATATATTGTAAAGTGATCACCATAACCATTACCATTACCTCCATCCATTAGAGAATTACCTTTTCTTTTTTTTTTTTTTTTTTGCTGTGAGATCATTTAAGATCTACTCTTGGGGGGCCTCCCTGGTGGTACAAGAGGTTAAGTGTCAGAACTATGAAGCAATCTGCAGCCTCTGCAGCACAAGTTCCAACCCCGGCCAGGGAGATAACCCACATGGCGCAGCAGACCTCTCCTGTCTCACCCGCCACTCCCCTCAGCAGTGTATTTCAGTCAGTCTGCCTGCTCTGTTCCCCCCTCTGTCTCTGGTGAGTCCTCTCTGGCCTGTATCCCAGTTCTTGTATGCATAAATAAATAAATCTTTTAAAAAAAAAAAAGAAAGAAAGATCTACTCTTGGCCACTGATAGATTCTCCTGTCAGGTTCACTGGGACGCCTGGGCAGTCACTGATCATGCTGCCCCAGGTAGTGCATTCTGACACTGCTGCCACTGCGGCCCTCTCTAAAACGAATGCAACCCACCCTTTTAGGTCCAGGGGTATTGCAGTCAGCAAGAATCTTACCTATAGGACAGCCTAGTCTTGCACCTGTGCCACCTGTTCCTGAATATGGAGGAAAAGTTCAGTTGCGGCTGATCCCTGGGGACTTCTTCCAGTTCCTTCATCCTAAAACCTGTGTGACAGGACCCTATGTGCTCAGATGGGGCTGATCTTGTATTTTCTATCCAAGCAAATATATGTAAGCACTCCAGACACCTTCTCTGTCTTATCAGTTATAAGTGGGTGCTGAGCTTTTTTTTTTTTTTTTTAAGGGTCAGTTTTATTCAGAAACAGAGACACCTGCATAGAGTCGGAGGTGGGTGGGGTGGGTAAAAGAGCTGCCCTGAGCTGCTTTATTTTCTCATTTTCACTGCCTCGATTACCCCAGTGTTACCGACTGCTCCTGCCCTGGGAAGACGCCTCACCAGAGGGACTGCACAGTAGTTACAGACACTGCAGCGGAGCTGGCGGGGGCACGGCCGACCCCAGTGATCCACGTCCGTCTGCAGCGCGGGGCCCTGCCCCAGGATGAGATACACAAAGGGCAAATAACCAGACAAAACCTGGCAGTGTGCCGCAGGCGTGTGGTGGGCGGCTCAGATCAGACGGTGGGTTCTTTTTCTGACCACGAGAGCACCCGTGTTACCAGGTTCACCCGACCACACCCCGCAGCCACCACCAAACCCCACAGCCCGGGGGGCGGGGTGGGGGGTGCCTGAGGACCCCTGTAGGGTAAGGAAAAATGTCAGGCTTTTCGGCCCTCCCGCCATCAGGATAGATGATGGATCCTTGCAGTCCTGAATGCATGCCTGATGGCGGGCACCTGGTGTAGGGTGTGGGCATAGGTAGATGGGATTCACCTGGGCTGAGACTGGGCTTTTAAGGGCGGCGTCACAGGGATGCCAGCAGCAGGAGAAGCCAAAAGAGAAGCCGAGAAAGAAGTAGCAGAAGCCGAGAGAGAAGCAGAGAAGGCCGGAGAGCCCAGATAGAGTGAGGACTTGCTGGGGGCTGGGAGGCCTGCCAGCCTCCCGACCCCCCAGCACCCCTGCCTGCTGTGTACCCGGTAAATCCCAATAAAAGACCTGCAAAAACCCACTGAGGACTCTGACTCCTCCTTTACCCGGTCTGCATGGGATCAGGAAACCCGCACTGTGTCGGTTCTTGGACCTTACACCCCACTCCAGTCTCACAGCTCAACTACCAACCCACCCCCCAGCGAAAGCAGCCCAGGGAACCGAACAGAGGCTCAATATTTTACCCCGTCTCCAAGACCCGCTTTCGGGGCGGTGGGAGTCACAGCCGCCCCGCCCCCCGCCCCCCAGTCTTGCGCAGGCCGGGCGGGCCGGGCAGCAGGTGGGGAGTGAGCGGCTCAAGAACCGACGCGCGCCCGCGGGGTCCCACGGCTGCGCGGGGCCAGGGCAGCGCTTTACTCCTTTCAGGAATTTTATTCTTGGTCAAACTGTAATTCACAAGAGAGGGGACCGCGCGAAGGCGGAGGACAGGGCGGGGGCGGGGGTGGGGGGCGGGGCAGGAAGCAGAAAAGAATCAAAAACTCTCAGAAGTAATTGGAAAGTGTGGCGCTTGCGCGGCAGTCTACTAGACCCCTTGGTCAGCATTTTTTTTTTTAAGATTTATTTATTTATTTATACGTGCACTGGGTACAGTCAGAAGCGCGGGAGGGCGAGAGAATTCACCAGAGCCAGAGCGGGGAGCAGAGCAGGCAGAAGGACCGAAGTACACTGCTGAGGGGAGCAGCGGGCGGCAGGAGAGGTCTGCGCGCCATGTGGGACCCTCCTCTGGTGGCCGGGGAGCAGCCGGGGATCGAACCGGCGCTGCAGAGGCCACGGGCAGCTTCACAGCCCAGAGCTCAACCGCTGCACCACAGGGAGGCCCCCCCCCTTTTTTTTTTTAAGATTTATTAATTTGTGCACACAAGAGCTGGGGTGCAGGCCAGAGATGCGGGGGGTGAGAGGACTCACCAGACACAGTGGGGAGCAGAACAGGCAGACTGACGGGAAAAACCTGCTGAGGGGAGCAGCTGGAGGCAGGAGGGGTCTGCCGCGCCTTGTGGGCAGGTCCCTGGGGAGTGAACTCGTGCCGCAGTGCCTGGGACAGCTTCTTAGGTTGGGTCCTAACCCCTTGCGCCACCAGGGGCCCCTCGGGTCAGCTTTCCTATTGGTCAGTTTACTTGGCACGTGACGCAAGTCGCGGGTGGCGCGAACCGCGGGTATATAAGGCGGGACGCGGCGCCCCGGGGGACAGCGATCCCGGCTTTCGAACTTGAGAGCGTCTCCGTTCCTTTGCTCGGATCTCAGAACTCCCGTTTCTCCCTTCCCGAGGGCCCCGGTCCGACCCAATCTCGCCGAGGCAGGGACCGCAGCAGCCTGGAACTCAGGCGACACCCGTGCGTCACTGTCCTGCCAAGAAGACCCGCTTGCTGGCTCAGATTGAACGGCTAATCGCCAAAAAGGTGGATTTTGGAAGCCGAGGGGAGCGGTTTGAGGGTGAGGTGCGGGGAAGAGGTGGGCTGGGGTGGTGTAGTGGCAGGAAGGCACGGAGCAGGATCTCTCTGACCTGAGCAGACCGGCAAAGGAGAAGTCCTGGGGCCCTCGGTGACTTTTCATGGGATTTACCAGGCACCTGGCAGGGCTGGGGGGGGTTGGGGGAGGGCCGGGGTTTGGGGGGGGAGAGGGGGCAGGGGGTGGGGGGGAGGGGGTTGGGGAGGCGAGGGGGGTTGGGGAGGCGAGGGGGGGGTTGGGGAGGCGAGGGGGATGGGGGGGTAGGGAGACTGGCAGGCCTCCCACCCCAGCAAGTCTTCACTCTTTCTAGGCTCTCCAGCATTCTCTCTGCTTCTCTGCTCCTCTCGTGGTTCTCCTGGCGTCTCGGTGACGCTGTCCTTATAAGCCCAGTCTCAGCCCATGTATGCCCACCTATGCATGCCCACACCCCACTCCAGGTGCCCGCCATCAGGCATGCATTCAGGACGGCAAGGATCCATCATCTATCCTAATGGCGGGAGGGCAGAAAAGCCTGATATTTTTTTCACTTCCCTACCGGTGGGCTGGGGAGGGGAACTAGGGAGATGCTAATGACACAGCCAGTTTTCATGGGGTTCCAGAGCTTTCGGAATTGTAAAGTTTGAAAACAAGTTGGCAAATTATTTGTTGGTCACATAACCAATCACTGTAAAGGATTGACCTTTAGGAGCTAGAAAACAGAATTGGAATTGTCATTAGCAGATGCAGTGGTTATAATTTTTTTCTTTTTTATTGAAGTAACATGGGTTTACCATATTATATGTGTTTCAGGTGTACAGCATTATAAATCAACATCTGTATAAACTACACTATATTTCCCTCCAAAAGTCTAGTTTCTAGACATCACTTACTACTGATCCCTTTTACCAAATTCATCTGCCTCCTTTCTTTTCTTTTTTTAAAAGATTTATTTATTTATGCATACAAGAGCTGGGGTGCAGGTCAGAGGTGTGGGGGATGAGCAGATTCACCAGAGACAGAGTGGGGAACAGAACAGGCAGATTGACTGAAACATGTTGCTGAGGGGAGCAGCAGGCAAGACAGGAGAGGTTTGCCAGCCATGTTGGATGCCTCCCTGGCCAGAGATCGAACTCATGTTGCAGTGACTGCAGATTGCTTCAAAATGCTGACACTCAAGCCCTTACACCACCAGGGAGGCCCCACTGCCCAGATTTTAGAGATTACTAGAAAAAAAATTTTTTTAAGATTTATTTATTTATGCATACAAGAACTGGGGTGCAAGCCAGAGGAGCGGGAGGTGGGGTGGGTGAGAGGATTCACCAGAGACAGGGTAGGGAACAGAACAGGCAGATTGAAATACACTGCTGAGGGGAGTAGCAGGGAGACAGGAGAGGTCTGCACCATGTGGGTGGCTTCCTGGCCCACCGGGCATCGAACTTGTGCTGCAGAGGCTGTGGATAGCTTCACAGCAGGTGCTTAACCTCTTGGGTCCCCAAGGAGACCCTCCTCCACATCCTTTCTTCCTTCCCTTCTGGTAACCACTATTTCCTGAATAAAGTCTAGAGTTCATTTTTGTTTTGTTTTGTTCATTAGTTTCGTTTCTTTTGACAAGAACTTCATTTCACATATGAGTGAAATCAGTGTTTGTCTTTTCCATCTGACTTATTCCAACTGACTTCTGGAGAATTAATATCCTCTAGATTCATTATCTCTTTGAATTAGTGTTTTCATATTCTTCAGGTAAATACCCAGAAGTGGGGTAACTGGATCATAAGAAATTTCTATTTTTAATTTTTTGAGTACTCTCCAAACTGTTTTCCTTAATGACTGCACAGCAGTGTACAAGGCTTCCCTTCTCTTCACATGCTCTCTGACATTTACTATGTCTTATCTTTTTGGTAACAGTTATTCTCATGGATGGGAAGTGATATCCCATTGTTTTGATTTCCAATTATTTAATAATAAGAGATGAACATCTTTTCATGTGCCTGTGGTTTACATATATGTCTTCTTTGGAGAATTGTCTGTTCAGATCTTCTGCCCATCTTTAAATCAGGGTTTTTTTTTTGTTTGTTTGTTTGTTTGTTTTGCTGTTGAGTGACTTGAGTTCTTCATACATTTTGCATATTATCCTCTTTGTCAGATGTATGATTTGCAAATATCCTCTATTCATAGAATGCTTTTCATTTTGATAATAGTTTTTTTTCCCCCTGGGAAGAAACTTTTTAGCTTAATTTAGACCCATTTGCTTATATTTGTTTTTGTTTCCCTTGTCATTGGAATCCAGTCCCTAAACATATCTGTAAGGCCTGTGTTTAAAAGCATATCACCTAAGCTTTTTTCTATATATTTCATGATTTCAGGTCTTACATTCAAATCCTTAATTTAAATTGAGTTAACTTTTGTGTATGGTGTAAAATAGTGGCCTAGTTTTATTCTTTTGCATGTGTTTGTCCAGAGATTTTCCTTGTTCAATTGTAAGCTCTTAACTCCCTTGTCAAAATTAGTTGTCCTTATATGTGTGAGTATATATTTTTTAAATATTTATTTATTTATGCATACAAGAACTGGGGTGTAAGCCAGAGGAGCAGGGGGTGTGAGGATTCACCAGAGACACAATGGGGAGCAGAGCAGGCAGATCTACTGAAACTCACCACTGCTGAGGGGAGAAGTGGGTGAGGCAGGAGAGGTCTGCAGCGCCATGTGGGTTGCTCCTTGGCATGCCAGGGATTGAACTTGTTCTGCACTGACTAGAGATAGCTTGATAGTGCTGTCTTTAACCCCTGAGCCGCCAGGGAGGCCCTGTGTGAGTTTATTTATAGGCTCTCAATTCTGTTTCATTGATCTGTGTCTGGTTTTATTCCTAGGCCATGCTTTTTTTGACTATTATTGCTTTTTTTTTAAAGGGTAGAAATTGATTTTTTTAAAGATTTATTTATTTATACAAGCACTGGGGTACAGTCAGAGGCACAGGAGGGTGAGAGAATTCACCAGAGACAGAGCGGGGAACAGAACAGGCAGAAGGACCAAAGACACTGTTGAGGGGAGGAGCAGGGGAGGCAGGAGAGGTCTGCCGCACCATGCGGGTTTCTCCCTGTCTGGCTGGGAATCAAACCTGCGCTGCAGAGGCAGCAGACAGCTTCACAGGGGTTCAACCCGCTGCGCCACAGGGGAGGCCCTGACTATTATTGCTTTTTAGTATACGTTGCAGTTGGGGAGTGTGATCTCTTCATTTTTGTTCCTTTTTCTCAGGATTGTTTTGGGACATTTTGTAGTTCTAAATAAATTCCATGATTTTTGCTTCTGTCTCTGTGAAGAATGCACTTGGGGTTTTGCTAGGGATTATACTGTTGCTTTGCTGTACATTGCTTTCAGTAAGATGGCCATTTTACCAATGTTGATTCTTTCAATCCATGAGCATGAACTATCATAAAAGTTATAATTCTTAAAGAAGGGAGAAATGAGAAAAACCTCTCCCTCCCAACAAGATGTGCAAAACAAAAGAGAAAAGTGCAAGAAGGGTTAAGTGCTCCTTCATTTTAGTTTCCCAAGAGGCCAATTCTATCTCAGTTCGTTTCATATTTTTAGTTTCTGCCCAAGGCTAGACAGTCCCCACTCATTTACCCATAACTCTTTGCCCCAGAGTGTGATCTGCACTGTCCCAATTTTACCTAACAGATGTATCTGTATTAGAGGTCTGAGATGTTGCTTCCAATTTCTCTGGTTATTCTCATTCAATTATGCTGGTTACTCACCCACCCATACCTGTTTCTCCCTGGCCCCTCACATTCCAACCCCACATTTCCTGGGTTTCTTTTTATGTTTATCTAGAAAAGTCTAATATAGACTTCCTTTGCCATATACTGTGGACACAAATACTACCTTATTTACTTCTGACAACACCTCTATGAGGGAGTTTCCATTGTCATCATTACTTTACTTGGGCACAGGAGAGATTAAATAAGTATATTTAATCACATCATCTATAGGTAATAGAGCTGGGATTTAAACCCAAGGAATTTGTCTTACTTATTTATTTATTTTAATTTTCTTACATTGCTGTTCATTTTTGTATGATATTTTATTTCTCCCCTCAGGTGTAATACCCATATATCTCCGATCACCACCTCACCTGTGAATTGTCATCAGAGTCCCTTGTGCTCTTCCCTCCCCTGTTTTGATCCCTCTTCCTCCCTCTCCTTTGCTGTATGTCTCTGATCTATAATTTGCCTGCTAGTTTTGTCTTTTTTTCCCTCTAACCCTTTGTTTGGTTTCCCTACATTCCTCCTGTAAGTGAAACCATCTGATATTTTTCTTTTTCCTTCTTACTTATTTCTGGGGATTTGTAATTCCTTCCAGCTTCATCCATTATGCTGTGAATGGAATGAGTTTATCTTTTTTGATTGCTGAGTAATATTCCATTTTGTATATATATGCCACATCTTCCTGATCCAGTCATCTGTTTTGGGCTTCTATTTTGTTTCCATATCTTAGCTATTGTGAATAGTGCTGCAGATTTCCTTTTGAATTAATGTTTTTGTGTCCTTTGGGTAGATTCCTAGGGGTGGAATGGCTGGGTCATGTGGTAGATCCATTTTTAATAATTTGAAGGTCTTCCACACAGCTTTCTATAGTTAAACTCAGGGAATTTGAATTGTAATGACTGAGCTCTGTTACCTGTCCCCCACTCTTCCTGTGTTTCTGTTTGTCCTTCAGAGCTGATTTTACTGGAAGGAGATAGCAGGTGGTACTAATTCACTGACTTGGTAGGAAGTCTGGGAACTGAAAACCATTTGGAGCTTTGAAAACTTCTATAAATCCAATAGAATCAGGTGAGTTTTTAAAAGTTTCTTGATAAGCCCCCTGATTTTTACTGCTGAAGTGTTAATTTCTTATTTGTTTATTCTATTTTACTAGGTGTTTCCATGTATATGGAACATTATAAACAATTGGCAAAAGTCATTGATGATAATTTTCCTTTAAACCTAAGAGATATTATTGAGCATCTTCTGCCTGCCAAAGAATCTAAATAGATACAGTTGCTATTTTGAAAAGTTACCAATGAAAAACTATCCCCATGCATTGTTTTGACACTAAAGTGTATAGGACAAGGAAAAAATTAATTTTGAAATCCCCAGATATCTGGAGGAACATTTAACAAATATCTTGGCAAAGATATTTCATTGGTCTTGGAAAGCAAAAGAGAATTACAAATAGAAACATCTATATGGGGCCTCCCTAGTGGCGCAAGGGGTTAAGATGCAATCTATGAAGCTATCCGCAGCCTCTGCAGCAAGAGTTCGATCCCTGGCCAGGGAGGTGACCCACATGGCACAGCAGACCTCTCCTGACTCACCTGCTGCTCCCCTCAGCAGTGTATTTCAGTCAGTCTGCCTGTTCTGTTCCTCATTCTGTCTCTGGTGAATCCTTTCACCACCACCCCCAACACCTCTGGCCTGTACTCCAGTTCCCGTGGTATAAATAAATCTTTAAAAAAAAGAAGTATCTATACAAGGATCTAAATTAGGCAAAAAGGTCAGGTTGTGAATGTTCCAGCCTTCATTTTTACCTAACAAATTTCTCCTAAATGTCTTCACTGCTCAGTAATCTATTTCCTTCTGTCAACTGCTTCAACATCTACCTCATGTGTCCAGAGTTACTTGAACCTACTAACCAGTTAGACTTGCCATTCCAAGCCCTTAGGGTATAATGGGACTTTGTGAGAAAGGAAAGTAAGACAAACACTTGGCAGAGCTGGGATTTGAACCCAGGAAATCTCTGCTGTCTCTCTCTACCATATGTTTGGTCCTGTAGGTTCTTCAGTGATAACTCACCTTCAAGTCATCACCAAGCTGCACCTGCTCAGCAGCATCAGACCTTAAAATCTCAGTCGGTGGCCTTGTTCTGGCCTTCCTCGATTCCATATTTCCTTGGTTTTCCTCCCGCCTCTCTCGCTTCTGTTCATGATTATCCTCTTTGCAGTGTTTTCTTTTTTTATTCATTCCCTAAATTTGATATTCATTGGACATTTGTTCTAAACTGACATAGTCTCCTCTCATAGTACACGTGCAGACGCACCTGTACTGCCATTGCTGCCATTGCTTCACTGCAGATGACTTCACCTGGCCAATTCCAGTGCATCCTTTAGGTCTTACCTAAAATATCACCTCCTCCTGAAAGTCTTACTGAACTCTGCTTTGCAGATTATTTCAGGTATCCCTTTACTATAATTCCCTTATGATAACCCACATCACACATGGTTGTAAATGCTCATCAAATTAGTCCCCTCTCTTGCCAGAGAGCCCCTAAAGAGATGGGATTATTCCTATCTTACTGACTGGTCTAGTGTCTTCCCCCAGCACATATTAGACACAATTAAATATTTTCTAATAAATGGATGAATAAACTGTGTGCAAGGGGCTGTATATTTCTTAGTCAAAATAAAGCAAACATTTTAATAGTTTCAGCTGCAAGATCAGAATGAATCACTACCTGCTGGAGGTGGAGCCATTTTACCCAGACTTGGTCATCAATGTGGGAAAAGTAACTATTGGTGAATTAAACAGAAAGCAATTGCAGAAAAACCAGAGAACGCAAGAGAAGGACAAAGTCAAACAAGCTGCATGTGCTTTATTAAACTCAGGAGGAGGAGTGATTCTGGTGAAAATGGCAAATGAGAAAAATCAATCCGAGATGGGACTGGATTTAGAACAGGCTTTGCGAGACCTTATTCAGTCTCCAGAGTTGCATGCTTTCTTTGAGACAGTACAACAAAAGAGTTGTTTTTATATTTTTGTTAAATCATGGACCAGTGACACTTCCTCGACACTAAAGCCCCCTATTTGCAGTCTGAGTTCTTCATTATACTGTAGATCTGGCACCTCTACACTTTGCATGGATTCAAGACAAGCATTCAATTTCCTGAAGACCAAGAAAATGAATGTAGAACGTAGTCCAATTAATGAAGGCTTTCCACCTACTAACATTCCCAGAAATGAGCATCTGATCTCTGTCTTCCAAAGAAACAGGTTTGAATTTGGTGAAGTCCTGCCTTTTCCTGAGTCCGAATTAGCAGAATTTAAGCAATTCTCTACAAAACGCATCCAAGAATACCTGAAAGAGATAATTCCAGGATATGTATCTGCATTTGCAAACTCCAGGGGAGGTTATCTTTTTGTTGGAGTGGAAGATAAGAGCAGGAAAGTCCAGGGATGTGCAAAAGAAAATGTTGACCTTAACTCTTTGGAATACAAAATAGAAAATGTCATTTCCAAGTTGCACACTTTCCACTTTTGCTCTTTACGACTATTGGGGCATCCACCAATCAATCATCAATTTTTTGAGAAAAAAATTGCAGAAGTGCATAAGGATGGAAATCTGTACGGTTATCTCTGTATGATCAAAGTGAAGCCATTCTGCTGTGTGGTGTTCTCAGAAGCTCCCAGTTCTTGGGTGGTGAAGGAGAAGCAAGTCTGTTGTCTAACAACTGAGGAATGGGTTGACAAGATGGTGGACACAGGCCCAGGTAAGAGAGTGAAAGCTCTTCCCTGTTTTTTTCTCCTTCTGTAGCTTCTCCATGTCCTTCTTCATTCTCTATAATTTTGAACTCCTTACACACGTTAAAATTTGCTTTCTCTAAGTCTCCATGTCTTGCACATAAGCGAAGCTTTTATTGAGTGAAGAAAAGTTAAAATCAGGTATTCTGTGAATGGTGATTTCCCACCAAAAGAAGGAAAGGAAATAATAGTTTGGAACTGTATTTTTCAGTTGAGTATACATTATTTTAGATCTTATTAGAATTTGCTGTAATCTCATAATGACTACCTTCTACCTCAATTTGGCCTGAGATCAGCTCTGGGAGACAGGAGTCAGTGTTGGGTGAGGTCTGTTTTGGTTGTAATTAGTGGAGGTGCATGTGTATGTGGTGATAAAAATTTCAAAAGACAGTGTTTTAAGTCCATTGCAATTCAAGCAAATAATTATTCCAACCTAATAGAGGGAGCATTGTATTTAATGGAGAAATCAAGATTCAGAAGGAGGGCTTTTACAGTGGTGAGTTTTTGGGAAACTTGACATAGAGTTCAGAGAAATTTCCAGGTATTAACCAATTTTTGCATTAGGAGAAAGGGAGAGAAATTAACGCATTTGATTAAAAGCAAACCACGTGTGGAGAAAGAAAAACCTTAGTACATAATTATTGGGAATGTGAACTGGGGCAGCCATTTTGGAAAGTTGTCTGGATTAACCATAAAAAAGAAAAGATGGAAATATCACAACCCAGCAATTCCACTCCTGGGCATCTACTGAAAGCATCTGCCTGTATGCCCAGAGATTGTATCATGTTAAATGGAACATAGACACCAACTTATACTGCATTTTCAGGGGAGAGGAATGAAATCATATAAGGTAAGATGAGTTTTCTTTCTTTCAGATTTGGCTGAAGATTTCAACAATCAACTGGATTTATCCCAAAAACCTCCAAGTTGCAGGCCAGTGTATTCTAGGAAAGGTCTTGACCATAAAAAAGCTCTCCAAAAAGCTTTATTTCCAGGTACAAACCAATTTTTACATTAGGAGAAAGGGAGAAAATTTAACACATTTGGGTTAAAAACAAAAAAAGCAAACCACGTGTGGAGAAAGAGGAACCTTAGTACATAATTTTGGCAATGTAAACTGGGGCAGCCATCTTGGAAAGTTATCTGGATTAACCCTAAAAAGTAAAAGATGGAAATATCATAACGCAGCAATTCCACTCCTGGGCATCTACTGGAAAAACATGAAACTATCAACTCAAAGAATTATATGCTTTAGAATATTTATTGCAGCATTATTTATAATAGCTAGTTTATGGAGACAACCCAAGTGCCCACTTGAAAAGGATTGGATTAAGAAGATATGGTATATCGGGCCTCCCCGGTGGCGCAGCAGTTGAGCGCTGGGTTGCGAGGCTGCCCGCGACCTCTGCGGCGCCGGTTCGATCCCCGGCTGCTCCCCGGCCACGTAAGGAGGGTCCCACATGGCGCGCAGACCTCTCCTGCCGCCCCGCTGCTCCCCTCAGCAGTGTACTTCGGTCCTTCTGCCTGTTCTGTTCTCTGCTCTGACTCTGGTGAATTCTCTCCCTCCCGCGCTTCTGACTGTGCCCAGTGCATGTATAAACAAAACAAACAAACAAATAAATAAATAAATAAAACATGCCTCTAAAAAAAAAAAAGAAGATATGGTATATCCACACAGTGGAATACTACTCAGCCACAAAGACAAAATGTTACCATTTACACCAAAACAGAAGGAGTCTGAGGAAATTATGTGTCATAAGCAAAGTCAGATTGAGAAACACAAATATTGGACATTTACACAGTGGACAATTTGACAAAGCCAAAGTACTTATAAAAACTAGTGGACATTAATAAATGAGATGAGATTTCTGGGGTTATGAAAGAGGGAGGGGGAAAGAAAAAAGGGTCAAAGAGTATAAGGGATGATGGTGGGGGAGGGGAAGGAATTATGAGTAGAGATTCTGGAACCAGAGTATTTGCTCACTGGCTGTTGTTCTGGGCAAGTGATTTAATTTGTGCTAGGCTTCCTTACCCTGAAAATGCTGGCCTTATAGGTTTGCTAGGGCAATTAAACAAGAAAAGAAAAAAAAGTATCCATGGGGGCCTCCCTGGTGGCACAGGAGGTTAAGTCTGAGAACTATCAAGCTATCGCCAGCCACTGTGGCATGAGTTTGATCTTCAGCCAGGGAGCTAACCCAGATGGCGCAGCAGACCTCTCCTGTCTCCCCTGCTGCTCCCCTCAGCAGTGTATTTCAGCAGATCTGCCTGTTTTGCTTCCCACTCTGTCTCTGGTGAATCCCACACCTCTGGCTTACACCCCAGCTCTTGTAAGCGTAAATAAATAAAATAAATCTTTTAAAAAAATCTGTGGAAGATTATGTTTTGTAAATCCAGGTACAAATAGAGGAAAGGCCATAAACCTCTTAAGAATGAGTGTCAGGGAGGGCCTCCCCTGGTGGCACAGGCAGTTGAGTGCAGCACAGACCTCTCCTGTCTCGCCCGCTGCTCCCCTCAGCAGTGTATTTCCTCAGTCTGCCTGTTCTGTTTTTAATTTTTTTTTTAAAGATAGAATTATTTATTTATTTATTTATACAAGCACTGGGTACAGTCAGAAGCACGGGAGGGTGAGAGAATTCACCAGAACCAGAGTGGGAACAGAGCAGGCAGACCGACGAAACACACTGTGAGGGGAGCAGCGGGTGTGGTAGGAGAGGTCTGCGTGCCATGTGGGACCCTTGCTGGTGGCTGGGGATCAAACCAGCACTGCAGAGGCTGCGGGCAGCTTTGTATGCCAGTGCTCAACCGCTGCGCCACCAAGGGAGGCCCTCAATTTGCCTGTTCTGTTTCCCGCTCTGTCTCTGGTGAATCTTCTCACCCTCCTGCACATCTGACCTGTAACCCGGTTCTTGTATAAGTAAATAAATAAATCTTTTTTTAAAAAGGAGAAAAAAAAGGAATGAGTGTCAGGGAGCCTTATTAGATGCCTTCTAGCTTAGTAGTTGCCACATCTGGCTGATTATCAGAAATACTATCAGCAGTAGTTAAACATGAAGATCCCAGGCCACCATTAAGAACTCAGAAACAGGGCCTCCCCTGGTGGCGTAGTGGTTGAGCGCTGGGCTGCGAAGCTGCCTGTAACCTCTGCAGCAGCGGTTCTATCCCTGGCCACCCGCGAGGGTCCCACATGGCGCGCAGACCTCTCCTGCCATGCCCGCTGCTCCCCTCAGCAGTGTATTTCATCAGTCTGCCTGTTCTGTTCCCTGCTCTGGCTCTGGTGAATTCTCTCACCCTCCTGTGCTTCTGACTGTACCCAGTACTTATATAAATAAATAAATATTTAAAAAAAGAAGAAGAACTTAGAAACATTCAATTTCCAGGGATGGGAATTGGATACATGTATTTGAACAAGCTTCTCAAGTGACTCTGATGTTTTGCTGCATTTGGAAGCCATTAAACTTGGACAACTACAGGCAAAGCATTAGGTTGGGGGTGGAGAGGGTAGGAGAAGGCAATAGAGTAATTGACCACCTCTGGCCAGCTTTTTAGAGATGGAGAACCTAGACCTATAAAAACAATTACATTTTCATTTTAGATAGAATATAAAAAAAAACAACAGAGAGAGTGAGTAATTTCTCTTGGAAGAGGGTAGAGGACATGAGTCACTGGTGTGAGGAGTCAGCCACCAGGGGTAGCACAAAATAATAATTCAAGACCAAACACAATGTTAGGTAACACGCCCCACCCCACCTCTACTCCACAAACATTTTTGGCTAAGTTTTATCTAGGAATTTTTGCTTAGAAAAGGAAATCTAGATTTCTAAGGGAAGTAAATTACTTATTTAACTTCATAAACTGAACATATTGAAGATGAGATCTGACAGTGGGATATGATATACAAATGTCCTTATATGTCTGAATATTCATTATGGACAAAATAATTAATGTATTAGGTCTGCCTTACATCACATTTTAATCAAAGAGCTTCTTTATCAGATAAGCTTTTTTTTTCAGACAACCTTTTTTTTTTTTCAGATAAGCTTTTTTTTTTTTAAAGAAATATTTATCTATGCATACAGGAGCTGGGGTACAGGCCTGAGGCGTGGGGAGGTAAGAGGATTCACCAGAGACAGAGTGGGGAACAGAACAGGCAGATTGACCAAAGTACACTGCTGAGGGGAGCAGCAGGCGAGTCAGGAGAGGTCTGCTGCGCCATGTGGGTTGCTCCCTGGCTGGCCGGGAATCAAACTCTGCAGAAACATCCAATTTCCAGGGATGGGAGTTGGATACATGTATCTGAACATGTATCCTGCAGAGGCTGTAGATAGCTTCATAGGTTGCATCTTAACCATTGCGCCACCAGGGAGGCCCATTATCAGATAGTTTTTAAAATATAAGCTGCAAGAGTAATTGAATTCTTGTATTTTACTTTCTCAGGATCAATAAATTCCATTTTGGTTGACATTCTCTGCTTCTTCATTACATAAAAGGGTGACTTCATTGATGTCACCTGATGGGTTAAAGAGACATTAATTAGAGGACTCCCTGGGGGCGCAAGGGGTTAAGACACAACTTACTAAACTATCTGCAGCCACTGCAGTATGAGTTTGATCCCTGGCCAGGGAGCTTCCCACACGGTGCAGCAGACCTCTCCTGTCTCTCCCACTGCTCCCCTCAGCAGTGTATTTCAGTCAATCTGCCTGTTCTGTTCCCACTGTGTTTCTGGTGAATCCTCTCACCCCCTGCACCTCTGGCCTATACCCCAGTTCTTGTATGCATAACTAAATAAATCCTTATTTATTTATTTATTTATAGATTTATTTATTTATTTATACAAGCACTGGGTATAGTCGGAAGCGCGGGAGGGTGAGAGAATTCACCAGAGCCAGAGCGGGGAGCAGAGCAGGCAGAAGGACTGAAGTACACTGCTGAGGGGAGCAGCTGGCGGCAGGAGAGGTCTGCGTGCCATGTGGGACCCTCCTCCGGTGGCCAGGGAGCAGCCAGGGATCGAACCAGCATTGCAGAGGCCGCGGGCAGCTTCGCAACCCAGTGCTCAACTGCTGCGCCGCCACCGGGGAGGCCCATAAATAAATCTTAAAAAAAAAAAGAGACATGAATTAGAAGGAACTTCCCTTAAGTTCTCCGATTATTGGGAGGAGCTCCCTCTTAAATGTAATATGTGATTTATACAAAATAATACAATGTTTTTAAAGTGTTTTCTATTTTTTCCATGCCTAGTGTCATCAGGACCTCTGCAATATACTCCTAAATCCCTCTGGAAGGAGCTGTGCTCAGAGCATAAAGGACTAAAAGAATTAATAAATATGGAAATGCAACCTATCTGCCAGGGAATTTTGATCCTTTCTAGAAGCTGGGCTGTGGACCTGAGCTTGCCAGAGGAGCAGGGAGTCATTTGTGATGCTCTGTTGATAGCACAGAACAGCTACCCCATTCTCTACACTATTCTGGGAGAGAAGGGTAAAGAAATGCAGTTTGATCGCACCCACACTGCCTTTACTTTGAAGCAGAAGCTGGTAAACAAGGGAGGGTACCCCAGGAAGCTCTGCATCATGACCAAGACCTTCTACCTGGGTTCTGAGGGCAATGCAGAGCTCTTGGCAGGTTCAAATTCTTCAATTGACTACCCTGAGTCCTATAAACTGGCAGACGACCAGCAAATGGAAGACTTGCTGCAGTCCCTTGTGATTGTCTTGCTTGGCTTCAGGTCATTCTTGAGTGATGAGCTCGGTTGTGAGGTCTTAAATCTGCTCACGCACCAACAGTATGAGATCTTGTCAAAAAACCTCTACAAGACCAGAGAACTGTTTGTTCATGGCTTACCTGGCTCAGGAAAGACCATCATGGCCATAAAGATCATGAAGAAGATCAGGAATGTGTTTCATTGTGAAACAAAGAACATTCTCTACATTTGTGAGAACCAGCCTCTGAGGGATTTTATCAGGTAAACAGTTGGATCTTATTGTCACCAAATAAGGTTCAGTGTGAACTTATTCCACACTTCTCAAAGCAAATATCCTGTTTCTTAAGAGTTAGATGGTAAAATGATCTGTGACAATAGTACTGTATTCAGGGAAGCATGATAATTTTTCTCTTTTATTCCTTTTATATATTGGAGAAAACTGAATGTGTTGTTTTAATTTCCACAGTCACAAAAATATCTGTGAGGCAGTGACCCGGAAAACATTCATGAAATATGACTTTAAAGATATTCAGCACATCATTATTGATGAAGCTCAGAATTTCCGTACTGAAGATGGGGAGTGGTATGATAAGGCCAAAAACATCACTTGGAGAAAAAGGGATGACCCAGGAATTCTCTGGATCTTTCTAGACTACTTCCAGACCACCCACATGTACTACAGTGGCCTTCCTGCTCCCTCAGATCAGAACTCAAGAGAAAAGCTCTACACAGTGGTCCGCAATGCAGATCCAATAGCCAACTACCTACAAGAAAAAATTGAGGAGGTCAAAAAAAATCCCCCACCTAGCATCCCCTCTGGGTCCCTGGCGATGCTCGGTGAAGCTATTTGGGCTCAGGGTGTTTCAGGCAAGATTAAGTTCCGAAACTTCATGAGCTTAGAACAGGTGGTGACCTGTGTTGCAGAGAAATGCCGGGTTTTCTTCAAGAATGGTTATTCCCCCAAACATATTGCTGTGCTTCTCAGCAAATCTGAGGTAGTGGATGAATATAAAGAAAAGCTTCGAAGAGCAATGAGAAGGAGAAGCAGTTCTCAAATGGATGAGGAATCTAATGTGCTGGTACAGATTAAGGACGCGTTGCATGTTACAGACAATTGCATTGTGTTAGACAGTATTCGTAGGTTTTCAGGTCTGGAAAGAACCATCGTGTTTGGGATCAATCCGCAGCCAAATGAGCGTGCTGTTACCAACAATCTTCTGCTCTGTCTGGCTTCCAGGGCGAAGAAACATCTATATATTTTAACTAATAGGCAAAGACCTCAATCTAAGAAGCCATGATAAAGTATTCCCTCAGTCCCTTCAGTTTTCTAAAGGAATTGTATTCTGCAGCATAAAACTGCTCTTTCTAGCAATGAAAGAAAAGGTATAACTGGCTTCTGAGTTGCTCTATCCTGTTCAAGGCACTTTGAAAAAATCGAGTGATTTCTTCTTTGGAGAAGTTTCTTTTTAGCTCTTCTGCCCATTTTTTGACTGGATTATTTACTTTGTTTTTGTTGAGTCTCGTCAGCTCTTTGCAGATTTTTGTGATCAGTCCTTTATCATTAGTGTTGTGTGCAAAAATTTTCTCCCAGTCCATGGGGTGTCTCTTTGTTTTGGTTACTGTCTCTTTTGCTGTACAAAAGCTCTTTAATTTGATGTAGTCCCAGGTGTTTACCTTTGCCTTCACTATCACTGCTGTGGGTGATGTGTCTTTAAAGATGTTACTGTGGTGTATGTCATGTAGTTTTTCGCCTATATTTCCTTCTATATATTTTATGGTTTCAGGTCTTATGCCTAGTTCTTTAATCCATTTTGAGTTGGTTTTTGTGCATGGTGTGAGGTGGTAGTCAAGCTTCATTCTTTTGCATGTAGCAACCCAGTTTTCCCAGCACCATTTATTGAACAAAAAAAGAAACTTCTCCAAAGAGGAAATGCAAATGGCCAACAGGCATATAAAAAAATGTTCAACATCACTTGTAATCAGGGAAATGCAAATCAAAACTACAGTGAGATACTATCTTACACCAGTGAGAATGGCACATATTAAAAAAACTAGCAACAACAAATGTTGGCGAGGATGTGGAGAAAAAGGAACTCTCCTGCACTGCTGGTGGGAGTGCAAACTGGTCCAACCGCTATGGAGAGCTGTGTGGAGATTCCTCAATCTGCTAAAGATGGCATTCCACATGATCCAGCAATTCCACTCTTAGATATTTACCCAAAGGACACAGAAACATTAATTCCAAAGGGCACCTGCACCCCTATGTTTATAGCAGCACTATTTATAATAGCTAAGCTATGGAAACAACCCAAATGCCCAAAAATAGATGACTGGATCAAGAAGATGTGGTACATATACACCATGGAATATTATTCAACAATCAAAAAAGATAAACTCATGCAATTTGCAGCAACATTGTTGGAGCTGGAAGGGATCATTCTCAGTGAAATAAGCCAGAAAGAAAAAAGAAAAATACAGGATAGCCTCACTCATAGCAGGAATTTAGAGAACCTAGATAAGGGGCCAGGAAAAAGACTATAATAAAGTAAAAATCAAAATCAACAAGCAACTATAGACCAGGGGCATACTACGGGGGTGGGGAGAAGGGAGTAGGATCAAAACAAGGGTGGTGGGAATTGTATGGGTACTATAACCAAGATGAAAATGCACATATTGTGCAAAAATGAAAAATTATGTAAAAAATATATAAAATTTAAGAAAATTTAAAAACAATCAAGTGAGTGGTTCTATCATTAATACTTTTTTGTCTTGCTATTCATATTTATATGGACATTCTTTTATTTAACTGAAAATTAATTTTTTTTTTCTAAATCAGAGGAGACTTCTTGAGCCTTCCTCCTTTTCCTACACTTGGAAAGGCAACAAGAGATATAATTACACTACATTTCTCTATACAGTGTTTTAAGAATTTGTGGCCCTTTAAATTTACTCTTCATTAACATTGTTAAATCGAACTTTTTGTTAAATTGTACCATTAATATGAGTGCTGATTTCATAGTGAACTTTCCCATTGTGACCAAGTTTGAGCTGCCTCTGTGACATCAACATGTTCCCAACTTCCCTGAACATTGAACAGTTGCTCTTGTGAGTAGTACAAGTCAGCTCTAGGACATGACTACATAGCTGAAACCGTGCCCTCAAAATTTGGTGTGCCTTTTTCTCAGCCACAATATTTTTAGAAAGAGAAAATACTTTTAAACAATAGAAAGGAAATATTTTAGAATAGAACACTAAACCTTTCTTTTCCAAAGATTTATTTATTTATTTATACAAGCACGGGAGGGTGAGAGAATTCACCAGAGCCAGAGCAGGGAACAGAACAGGCAGACTTACAAAATACACTGCTGAGGGGAGCAGCGGGCGCAGCAGGAGAGGTCTGTTGTGCCATGTGGGACCCTCGCCTGCGGCCGGGGATCGAACCGGCACTGCAGAGGCTGCGGCCACCTTCACAGCCCAGCGCTCAACTGCTGCACCACCAGGGGAGGCCCGAACACTGTAAACTTTTATTTAAATTACTTAATTGGTCAAAAACTAATATTTACCTTTTTACTAACTGATACATAACTCAGTTATCTTGAAAGACCGCTTTTCCAAGTCAAAAGCTATTTTGATATTCATTTGTCTGAAACTGATTCAATATCTTGTGCAATATATTAACAAAAACACAAGACTCACCAGGAAAAAAGTATGGCCATGAAGCAGAGAAATGTTGCCACATGATATTTCACATGAACTTTAAAAAATATTATGAAACAACTACAACTGCAACTACAAAAGAATATCACAAATCAGCGGACCTCCCCGGTGGCGCAGCAGTTGAGCGCTGGGTTGCGAAGCTGCCCACAGCCTCTTCAGCGCCAGTTCGATCCCCGGCTGCTCCCCGGCCGGCCACTGGAGGAGGGTCCCACATGGCGCGCAGACCTCTCCTGCCATGCCCACTGCTCCCCTCAGCAGTGTATTTCGTCAGTCTGCCTAATCTGTTCCCTACTCTGGCTCTGGTGAATTCTCTCACCCTCCCACGCTTCTGACTGTACCCAGTGCTTGTATAAATAAAAAAATAAATCTTTAAAAAAAAAAAAGAATATCACAAATCAGCAATAAAGGAATGCAAATAAGGAGGACCTCCCTGGTGGCACAGGGGTTAAAGATACGGCTATCAAACTATCGCCAGCCACTGTGGCCTGAGTTTGATCCCTGGCCAGGGAAGTGACCCACATGGTGCAACAGGTCTCTCCTGACTCGCCCGCTGCTCCTCTCAGCAGTGTATTTCAGTAGGTCTGCCTGTTCTGCTCCCCACTCTGTTCTGGTAAATCCTCTCACCCCCCTGCACTTCTGGCCTACACCCCAGTTCTTGTATGCATAAATAAATAGAATAAATCTTTTAAAAATAACAAGAAAAGGGGCGGAGCAACATGGCAGCGAGGAGACGCTGTGAGTAAGATCTCCCATTAAAAAAAGTTAATAGGGAGGAAAAGCGGCAGGTCCCAGTGAGAACTGGGACATGGAAGATAAACGGGTGACGCCAGCAAACTGCCTGAAGAAGAAAGTTGCCATAAAAGAGGACTAGAAGGGAGGGAAGCGCAGAACCCTGCTCCCCTCCCCCGCCCACAGAGTCGGCACTCTCCGACCGGCAGAGAGGAGGAAAACAACAAACTAAAATGACCAACAAGAACAAACTACGCAGCAAGCGGGACTGTGAGTGGAAAGGAACTATTGCAGCCACCACACCCCGTGAACAGGAGCTGTGGAGAACCCTGCAGGATTCGCCGCGGCGGTGAGCAAACGGCTCCGGGCACCATTAGAGAAGAACAAAGACCCCGGGAGATGCGCACACAGCCCGGGCTGCCGGTAAGCTTGGGAAAAGCGGCGCCCTTGGTGCACTTGAAAAGCAAACGCTGACCGGGATCCCGGCTGCCCAGGTCCCCACGCCTGCGACCTAGGCTTGCGGGGAGACGCGCGGAGGCCCTCACGGGGGTGAAAGTCCCTCACTGAGTAAGCAGGAACCAGGCGCCCAGGCACGGGAGCGGGTGCAAAAGGCGCCATTCCCGCGCCACTGAACTGGGCTACAGCCCGCGTCCTGGACCTGAGGGCTCTGAACTGAGACCCGGGGCACGAAATTCTGGGCGTGGGTTCTCCACGACGGTGGGGCACAAGGCAGACACAGCACCCCAAAGCTGTTGAGGTTTACCCTACCATTCTCGCTCTCTGTTCCCTGTCCCACGGGGGTGGGGGGGGGTTGAAAAACAGCCCCCCAAGGACAATAGGAGAGATCTCTGGCGCCACCTAGCGACCAGAAAAAAAGTCACTAACACCCCAAAGAACAGGGAAATTTCTTAAGACTTCTTGAAAAGGGCAGAAGGCTTCTGGAGGACCCAGTGGCCAGCTGGGAAGTTAGCCCACGCCAGCAGTGTGAGCCCACAGAGGGAGCAGGCACCCACGTCCGGGGCAGACCGGGCACGCAGAAGAGTGTGCCTGAGACCGGATGCGCAGGGACTGCGTCCCGCTTCGCCAGTTTAGAACAGGGACATTTCTTCAGTAAAGACTGCCTAAAACCAGCAGAAAGCTCCCCCAGAAGCCAGAGATGGTTCCTGGAGGAGCCAGAGGGGAGCGGAGAAGTTCACCCAAGATGACGGCCAGTCCGAGCAACACAGTGTCCCAATGCATACGACAAATTAGAAAACAGACAGTAGGGAGTAGAAGAACCACACGCAACCTAACAACGCCTCAGGAAAGAAGCACACCACAAAAAGAAAACCACCCTCCAGATTGCAACGACAGTAACTTGGAAGAACTTCTGAGCCTTCCAGAAAGAGAATTTAAAATTGCCCTGATTAAAAAAGTGGCAGAAGTCATAAAGGAAAACAATGATCAGAAGAAGGAAATTGAGTCCCTAAAGAGGGAAAACAATGGTCAGAAGAATGAAATTGAGTCCCTAAAGAGGGAAAACAATGGTCAGAAGAATGAAATTGAGTCCCTAAAGAGGGAAGTAAAAGAAATGCAAGAGATCAAAGAATTAATGGAGGAACTAAAGAACTCTGGGAAAAGCAATGAAAGCAGAATAGATGAAATGGAAGAACGAATAAGTACTCTTGAAGACACAGAAATAAAAAGAACCAAAACAGAAAAGGAAAGAGATGTACGAAGGAAAAAGAACGAAGAAAGACTTCGGGAACTATCTGACTCCATGAGGAAAGGAAATATAAGAGTTATAGGAATTCCAGAAGGAGAGGAGAGAGATGTAGGAACAGAGAAAATATTCCAGGAGATAATTGAAGAGAACTTCCCAAATGCGAAGAAGGAGCTGAAAATTGATATACAAGAAGCAAGAAGAACACCAAACTTCCACGACGAAAGGAAAAACACAGCAAGACACATAATAGTAAAGCTCCCAAGAATCCAGGACAAGGAAAAAATAATGAAGCTGACAAGAGGGAAGAAACAGATAATATTCAAAGGAAAACCAATCAGGCTGACATCAGACTTCTCTGAAGAAACACTACGGGCAAGGAGAGAGTGGAGGGACATAGTCAACAGACTCCAAGAAAACAGATGCCAACCAAGAATACTCTATCCCGCAAAGCTCTCCTTCCTCTATGAAGGAAGAATATGGACCTTCCCAGACAAAGAGAAACTCCGGAATTTCATTACAACTAAACCTCCACTCCAAAAAATACTACAAGGAATCCTAAAGCCAGAACCTCAGAGGGACGAATAACAACGAAAGAAGACCAAAAAAAAAAAGTTATTAAAAGAATAAATAAATAAAATCAAAGGAAAGACAAACACAATGGCAAATACAGATGCTAACATATCAATATTAACTCTAAATGTAAATGGACTAAACTCTTCAATAAAAAGACACAGAGTTGCAGCCTGGATTAAGAAACAAAACCCAACCTTTTGCTGTCTCCAGGAAACACATTTAGCTACAAAAGATAAAAATAGGCTCAAAGTTAAAGGATGGAAAACAATCCTACAAGCAAATGGACCAAAAAAGAAAGCAGGAACAGCTATTCTTATATCAGATAAAACAGACTTCAAACTCAAAAAAATAAAAAGAGACCATCATAATGGTCACTACATTATGATCAAGGGGACAATACTTCAAGAAGAAATAACACTCATTAACATATACTCACCAAACGAAGGAGCACCAAAATATATTAGACAACTGTTGTCCTCTCTGAAAACAGACATCAGAGAAAACACATACATAGTGGGAGACTTCAACACACCACTATCAACAATGGATAGATCAACAAGACAAAAAATAAGTAAAGAAACTAAAGCTCTAAATAAGGACCTAGAGCATTTGGGCTTAACAGACATCTATAGAACACTAAACCCAAAAAAAAGGAGTACACATTTTTCTCAAGCGCACATGGATCATTCTCCAGGATCGATCACATACTGGGGCACAAGACAAACATCAACATATACACCAAGATTGAAATCATACCAACCATTTTTTCTGACCATGAAGGCATCAAACTAGAAATAAACCATAAAAAGAAGGCAAGGAACTATCCTACCTCATGGAGATTAAAAACCACACTACTGGAAGACCACTGGACTAACGAGGAGATCAAAGAAGAAATTAAAAATTTCTTTGAATTGAATGACAAGGAGGACACTAATATCCT